ATCATTACAAAATGAACAAATTTGAGAGTGGTCCACATGTAGTACCTATATATGTAATATCAAAGCAATTGGACTTGAGGTTTTTAACAAGAAGTCGAAAATATCACTTTTTACCAAAAATGACAAAAATATTCACCAAAATTAGAGAATTAAAGATATCATTACAAAATGAACAAATCTGAGAGAGGTCCACATGTAGTACCCGGTACTTATATATGTAATATCAAAGCAATTGGACTTGCGGTTTTTAACAAGAAGTTGAAAATATCACTTTTTACCAAAAATGACAAAAGTATTCACCAAAATTAGAGAATTAAAGATATCATTACAAAATGAACAAATCTGAGAGAGGTCCACATGTAGTACCTATATATGTAATATCAAAGCAATTGGACTTGCGGTTTTTAACAAAAGGTCGAAAATATCACTTTTTACCAAAAATGACAAAAATATTCACCAAAATTAGAGAACTAAAGATATCATTACAAAATGAACAAATCTGAGAGAGATCCACATGTAGTACCTATATATGTAATATCAAAGCAATTGGACTTGCGGTTTTTAACAAGAAGTCGAAAATATCACTTTTTACCAAAAATGACAAAAATATTCACCAAAATTAGAGAATAGAAGATATGATCATGAAATGAACAAATCTGAGAGAGGGGTACCCAAGGTACAAATACACCAAGTATCAAAGCATTCAGGCTTGTAGTTTTCAAGAAGAAGTCGAAAAAGTAAAACATTGACACAGGCGACGAACGACGGCGGACGACGGACAATCACTCATATGATAAGCTCCGCTCGACAAAGTCGACAGCGGAGCTAAAAATCATATGAGTATATCTGCTTTTTATCTATTTCAATACATAAACCCTACTTTCACGAGGCCTCTTGGTAAGTCGCGATCCCTGATAAGTCATGGTTTTTGCTTGGATCTAACCGCAAGGTCATTGTAATATTATTGATGTACTTACCTCAGCTGGCATATGCATAAGTAGCGTGGCCGCAATAGGAGCCATTGCTTGACAATAACCGTCCCGAGTATTGTGAATGCTATATGCTTTGAGTACCCTAAATAAATCTTGTTGCCCATACCCACCGCGCTCTGCAAACATCTCATGCCATGGAAATTGACGATCTAGGTCTTTTTGGATGTCATCGACCCATCTTGGGTCACCTGGCATGGCGTCAATTTCCTTCAAAAGAGTAAGAAGTGTCTTGTTAGTTTTAAATAAAAGTTTCATAGTACATTCATTTTAAAAAACACAAGAAAAATGACAGGAATGACACATTTCTTCACATATATTGTATCGTTTATTTAATTGATGAGAAAAATGACATTTAGAATTGAAAATAAGACATCTACCGGTACAACAATTATTTGCAATAAATTCAGAGCCTATTAAGGCTCATACCAATGTGGTGTGTCTAATCAGTAGTCTGTTACATCATAGCAGACTGTTGCATTCATTTGAAAGTGACGATTGTTTGGAATTTTAGCGAAAAACTGCTTTACTTTCGCTCCTAGGAATTTTGAGAATTTTACGTCATCTCAAAGACCAAATTTGGCAAAATACACTGACATTTGGTGACATAGGACCCATGAGAAATGTTCACTCTCATAAACTTTTGTGATTTTCACAGAATGACGAAATTCACAAAAAGTATGTATCTTGCAGAAATAAAGAGGTCGACAATGGTTTCAGGACAATTACTTACATCAAATTTTCCTTTGTTTCGTTCCATCATTTTCTTGCTTCCAGACAAGTACTGCCAGGCTCGGGCCCGGAGCGATATTGGGATACCTTTACGGCATCTTTGTTTCACCTGTAGAATTTGACAAATTATTAACAATTTAGTATTGAAAAAGAACTGAGACATGGTTCCAGAATATTACAATACTCTTACCATTCCACTATGAAACACCAATTATTTTTCATTCTTTGTGAGTTTTTGGATAAATTGAAGACAATTTTAACTTTGGAGCAAACTCTCCACATACATTACACCTATGAAAATAGGATGCTATACAAATTGCTCAACATTGTAATACAACACTTAACATTAACATGTCCAAGCTTAACATCTGCATGTCTGGGACTACTGAATAGGTTACTGTTAAGAACTGTGATTGTGTGAATATTACTTAAAAGGCAGTAGTAGTCGCCGCCACCCATGCGCGAGATATATGGGTCTCATATAATCCAAGATGACGACTTTGACTGTTGAGCATATCAACGAGTACAAACTGAGACGTTACAAAGCTTTAAATAGGTAGGTGTTGTTTTTTTAGGTGAAGGTTTCTCAGACAAGCTTGATAAGTGAAAAATCTGATTTTCCAATTTCGCACAGACATACAGCTCTATAGTGCAGCCTTCATTCCCATGATACAGCCTGCACGTGTATGGTGCAGAATACAGTTCTATGGTGCAGCCTTCATGCTTAAAGCGCAGTATATTACTATGGTGCAGCATAAGGCTCCGTGTCGCAGCATACGGCTCTGTGACGCAGCATACAGTTCTAAGGTACAGCCTACAAGCTCTATGGAGTAGAATATGTCTCTCGGGCATTGAACACAGCTCAATGGTATCCACATGGAATGAGTTATGGAGCTACATTCTAAGAGGTATAGATTACAATATATTTACATATTGCAATCAGAGATGGGACAAAGTAAGTCATGTACAGCCATAGAATGTTAAAATCAAAATTAAATCACAATTTAATGTTGGCTGACATCAGAAAAAAAATGACAGAAAGCATTTAGTCTGACACATGCAATCCTCAGACGTCAAGTATTTCCTGAATCAGTTTAACAATTTTTACTCAGATGCTGACAGAACCTGAATTACCGATAATACATGCAGATACCATGTGATAGACTCAGTCAAACATAATATCAACAGATTTCACTGTTTTTTAGTTCGTTTTTTTAATTGAATATGAGCAATGCGATTGCAATAAAACCATAAGTTCTAGCTTTTCCTTGGTAATTTGACAAAGATAGTGTACACATGTTCCAATAGCTTTAAACTCCCCACTAACTGCATGTCATTCTTGTAGGGTAGAATGGAGTCCTTTTTTTTTCTCACCGCCGAGAGGACAGACCGTGTAGATCAAACTGCTACCTGATACTGAATGGATATCCAAATGCCAAACATCTGGCGAGTATGAAGGCATAAATACGCTGACAATCAAACCGGGAACTGCAATGTATGCATAATAATACACCGCTGTACAAGTAGTAGGTACTGTGAAGTACCACTTAAAATGCACTGCAGTCATCTGATCTCCATAAAGTGCCCTCTATGTCAAAGTATGTTTTTACTTACCTTTTTAAATTTCTTTCCCATCCAATAATCCCAATTGTCCAGCATTTCTAACCATTTTGATTCTCTTTTTCGTAGGACTTCAACCGGTATCTCAATATCCCTGGAATCAAAACACAAATAAAACAAATTTAGATGGTACAATCAACTTATATAATTGCCATTAAAGTCAATTTTCGTCACCATGTGCAAAATACAATGTTACATATTTCACAGATTTCTTCCAAAATTTTGAACATAACATAAAGCCAACAGAAAATGATGTCCATTTGGTTATAAATTAAAAAAAAAAAATTATAGAAAAGTACATAAAAATAGTGCACCAGAGTTTAAGCAAGAAAAAATTATGGCATTCGAAGAGATAACAATTACTCTCTTCTGAGTCTTAGACTTCAAAGTAAGCATCCGCAGGAGGTAGGATTAAAATAACATAATAAAAAAATTGGCAGAATGAGAGAAGTTCATGGCTATAGGCTGGGTGGGTGAGTGAGTGGCAGAGTTGTTATACCAATGGGACCCTGCCGGGTAAATGTATAACCAGGAAAGCAAAGAAGAGTTGAAGATACATTTAATAAATAAATAAATAAACAAACAGAGGTATCCCCTGCATATCACAACGGCCATCAACATTTAACCTATTGGGGTCAGTGCAGTGTCCTTGGTGAAAACAATGCACTATCAAGGTTGGAAGAGCATTGTTTCCACTTTATAAGTAAATCCAGTATATACATGTACAAGCATGCCAGTCATATCTGGGTAAGATGTTATGGTAATTTCCAGCAGCATCCACCCCCACAGATCCAGTACAATGCTATACATTCGATAGAAAAAAATTGTACTAGGAACTATGTATAGAACGCAAAGAATTCTGAGATAGAAATTGACACAACTTGTATCACATGTACATATCAGCGGTACGTACTATCAACAAATCTCATATCATAGATCTCCAGATGTCATTCTCACAAAAACATAACAATTGACATTTATTCTCGTCTGTATGTCAATAATCCAATTATTTTTACATCATCATACATGTATTCAGAAGTTGTCCATTTTATCAAGAAGTAAACAAACCGAGTCTTGGAAAAAGAAGCGCAGAATATTCATTTGTATAAATTACCGATAGATGTCATCTTAAATGGCAATTGATGTTGTGGTGCGTCACATTCGATACGGGCGAAATCAATATATTGATTGTTCACATGAAATACAAACGTGTACTGCATTACAAGAACCGCTCTCTACACTCTTGCAGGGGCAACAGCAACATTCAAAATTACAGAAGAAAGATGATAGTACTAAACAAAAATTCATCTATCCATCCATCCATCCATCCATCCAGGAAAAAAAATTGGCAAAATATGCAGATCATTCAGCCACTGGCCCTTTAATATTTTGAACTATTATAAACGAATCCATATATGACAAAATTAGAAGTTTAAAAATTAATATCTGTATCACAGAAATAATTTTAATACTGAAAACTACTTTAATTTGGCAAATTTATGCAAAATTTGTGAGTTAGTGAAAATCATCATGAAATTTTCTATAGAAGTAAAAATGTTACTGTGGCCCTATCACACAGATAGATTTTTCTTCATAAATGCCATCAAATCATTTACATTTCTATAAGCGAAAATTAAGTGGTTCACATCTCAGCTATTTTCAATGTAAAATCAAGAGTTCTCAGAAGCAGAAATTCAGATGATCACAATCCCCCCAGGATATCAACAAAACACTGCTTTTGAAAAAGCTCTAGATATGGTTGATTGTGCTTAATACGTGTCAACGCTGCATGAAAACTATTAACTACCTTTTATGTTACTCAAACGAACAAAACATGTTTTCGAAGCTGCGACAAATAAGTCACGGAGAAAGCAAAGTGAGAACAATTTACGCTGAAAGGTCACCATAGTTGAAACATACATGCTGAGCGGTAATTAGACAAATTGATTCCTAGGTTTTTGAGAAAAACATGCAGTTTAAATTATCGCATAAAGAACAGGCCAATCAAATTTGGGTCAATTGAGGTCATCCATTATTAATATCACAAGCGCAAAGTAAACACACACAAAAATATATGTCTATAGAAAGATGGAGAGGGGGGGGGAGAAAACCCATTCTAATTTGTCATTAGTGATTTATTTTAAAAGCATGCATATTTTTCACGAGTGTAAGTTGTTAACAAATTCAAGCACTATCAATAAATTTTAAAAATACAATACTAATTGGATAAACTCCTGTTATTTATAAGCATCATCAAAATTGACCAAATTGTAGTTTTAAAATGCGTAGTTACGGCCCGTGTCTATGCAAATACCTTCCATTAAAACACATGTAACATTTATGGCTTACGTAATTAAAAATATATTACGCTGAAAGAAAAGATGGCGAAACGTTTCGGTTACACATAACATACTCTTGGGAATTCACCTATTTATAAAATTATTAACATTAAATTATTGTACCATGCCTAAAATAGTGTAAACAGA